AGGTGGGAGCCAAGTCTTGTCCTCAAGGGACCCCGTCGGGGGCAGGGACCCGCGCGGGCCCCAGGGCAGGGCGGGGGGTTAGATATGCACATCTACATGTGTATGCGCATATCTACATACGAATGTATATACATGTATGCGCACATTTGCATACATCGATGCATGTGTTTCAGATAAAGACGTGCGCATATCTACCTGATCGAATAATACACGTGTGTGTGGGGGTCCGGGTCTGGAAGCCATGACTCTACATGTGGATGCCTCACTTTTACTTCCGCCAACTTCCGCCAAACTTCCACCTGCGGACCCGCCGCCGCTTCACCTCCGCTGCCCTTCCGCAGGCCTCCGCAGAAGACGAGGCCCGGTCTGGAACACGCCATATAGGTCATACATAGGTCAACTCCCGATCCACCGCAGAGCGGCGGAACAATAATCCTCCTTTGTCGTCCTTATCCCGCTACCCCTCCCCCTCTTCCTCCCCTCGCTTCTCTTCCCACGCCTCCCCTCCATCCCACTTCTCCCCCATCACGGTGTCGCCTATGAATGGCCTCTCCCAGAGGCTTGGCCTTATGGTGTCGTCTCGATGGTGGATGGTTTGCGACGAAGTGCCTGCAACCGCCGTAACAAGATCTCTGCAAGGACGCGCCTGTTGATCGAGAGAATGTGCGACGAATCGGGGCAGACTTAGGGCCGATTGGCTCAGCAAGTATGGGATGCTGGGTAAAGTGCAAGTGCGGATTTCTGTTCCAGGCATCCTTGATCATCAGCTCTCTTTCCTCTCGACGGCGCGCACGATGCGGGTGCCTCGAGGGGGGGCGACCTTCCAAAAAGGCGGGGAGCTCCCTGAAAGGCAGGCCACGAGGCCTCCTTTAGACGCCACCGAGCCCTTCGAAGGAGGCCCCCTGCCTTCCAAGAACCCCCCCCCTTGCCTACTCCAGATTTCGTAATAAAGGGAGGGGGGTCTCATTTCGGGGGGGGGTCTCTTCCAGGCCATCTTGGAGGGCCTGGGGGGTCTGGGGACGATGTTTTGGAGGGTTCTCCAAGGGGGGAGGTCTGAAATGGCTTGTCTTGGAGGGTCCAGACCCCCTCCCTTTTATTACGAAATCTGGAGTACTTGGAAGACCGACCTCCTCGTGCCACTCCGGCTATCCCGTCCGCCTCTGCCCCCCGCTCCCCCTCCCTCTCCTCCCTCCGCGGGGGGGGGAGACGAGAGGGCGCACGTGCGTCCGCGCGGCCGCCGAGGCGGAGGAGGAGGAGGAGCAGGAGGAGGAGGAGGAGGAGGAGGAGGAGGAGGCGGGAGGAGGCGGGAGGAGGCGGGAGGAGGAGGAGGGAGGAGGAGGCGGGAGGAGGAGGAGGAGGAGGAGGGAGGAGGAGGAGGAGGAGGAGGGGAGGAGGAGGAGGAGGAGGCGGCGGGAGGCCAGAAGAACAGCCTTCAAGAACACGCGACTCTCCGCCGGCCACAGCACCCCAAAAAACTAATAGTCATTGGACGGGTGCCCTCCCCCAGGATGCACCTCCTCCTCCTCCTCCCTCCTCCTCCCTTCCTCCTCCTCCTCCTCCTCCTCCTCCTCCTCCTCCTCCTCCTCCTCCTCCTCCTCCTCCTCCTCCTCCTCAGCAGGGCACCCTCCCCGAACCGACCTCGGTCTCGGACCTCCGTCCGACGGCACAGCAGAAACGCTGCCATGAGGAGCATCGGACAGCGGGTAGGGTACGAGGCCCCATTTGGGGCCTCGGCTGCGCCGGAACCTGGACGGGGAGCGCCAGAGGAGCACACCCGTGGCAGCACCTGCGCGGCAGGGAGCCCCCCTCTCGAAACCACACCGGGCCCGGGCTCCCGGGACCGTCCGGCCCCTCGCAGGAGGGCCGTGCCGCGGGGCGAGCAGCGCGGTGCTGGGCTGCCGCCTCCCGACCTGCCTCCCCAGATGCTGCTGGACGCCCGGCATGGGTACGGAGAGAACGGGTGCAGTGCCCAGCAGCAGACGCTGCCCAGAGCAGACAGCGGCCGCGGTTGGGCAGGCGGCCTGCTGGTCTTCGGTGCACCACGCCCGCAGCGGCGCGGACCGCGAGCCCCGCTCAAGAGGAGCAAGAGCTGCTGCTGGGCATCGTGAGCCCAGTCTTTCCGCACCCCTCTCGATCGCCCCGACGGTTGACGTCTCTTGAACAGGGACCGACCGTCCCGGCATTCCTATAGTCCTACCACGAAATGTTCTTAGAACCCGAAGCTGCTCCAATAAAAAAACAAGGTTCTTAGAACATAAACCCGATGTGATAAAATTACTCCGACGGTAGGACCCCACATGAGAATCTGTTTAGCTTACCCTTTGCCCTTTCCTCTTCCTCCTGGGGCTCCCGCCTGAGACTTCCTCACAATTCACTCACAGACGAGGCTCCCGCTCGACACTTCCTCCATATTCATATCTCAAGAGCCCAAAAGTGACGACAGTTGCACGTTGCGGATGACCCGCTCGGATTCAAACATGAAGTGCGGGCCCCATAGGGAGGGGGCTCCCGCCTGAGACTTCCTCACAATTCACTCACAGACGAGGCTCCCGCTCGAGACTTCCTCCATATTCAAGTCTCAAGAGCCCAAAAGTGACGACAGTTGCACGTTGCGGATGACCCGCACGGATTCGAACATGAAGTGCGGGCCCCATAGGGAGGGGGCTCCCGCCTGAGACTTCCTCACAATTCACTCACAGACGAGGCTCCCGCCTGATACTTCCTCCATATTCAGGCCTCAAGAGCCCAAAAGTGACGACAGTTACACGTTGCGGATGACCCGCTCGGATTCAAACATGAAGTGCGGGCCCCATAGGGAGGGGGCTCCCGCCTGAGACTTCCTACAATTCACTCACAGACGAGGCTCCCGCTCGAGACTTCCTCCATATTCAAGTCTCAAGAGCCCAAAAGTGACGACAGTTGCACGTTGCGGATGACCCGCTCGGATTCAAACATGAAGTGCGGGCCCCATAGGGAGGGGGCTCCCGCCTGAGACTTCCTCGCAATTCACTCACAGACGAGGCTCCCGCTCGAGACTTCCTCCATATTCAAGTCTCAAGAGCCCAAAAGTGACGACAGTTGCACGTTGCGGATGACCCGCTCGGATTCAAACATGAAGTGCGGGCCCCATAGGGAGGGGGCTCCCGCCTGAGACTTCCTCACAATTCACTCACAGACGAGGCTCCCGCTCGAGACTTCCTCCATATTCAAGTCTCAAGAGCCCAAAAGTGACGACAGTTGCACGTTGCGGATGACCCGCTCGGATTCAAACATGAAGTGCGGGCCCCATAGGGAGGGGGCTCCCGCCTGAGACTTCCTCACAATTCACTCACAGACGCTCCCGCTCGAGACTTCCTCGATATTCAAATCTCAAGATCCCAAAAGTGACGACAGTTGCACGTTGCGGATGACCCGCTCGGATTCAGACATGAAGCGCGGGCCCCATAGGGAGGGGGCTCCCGCCTGAGACTTCCTCGCAATTCACTCACAGACGAGGCTCCCGCTCGAGACGTCCTCCATATTCAGGCCTCAAGAGCCCAAAAGTGACGACAGTTACACGTTGCGGATGACCCGCTCGGATTCAAACATGAAGCGCGGGCCCCATAGGGAGGGGGCTCCCGCCTGAGACTTCTTACAATTCACTCACAGACGAGGCTCTCGCTCGAGACTTCCTCCATATTCAAGTCTCAAGAGCCCAAAAGTGACGACAGTTGCACGTTGCTGATGACCCGCTTGGACTCGAACATGAAGTGCGGGCCCCATAGGGAGGGGGCTCCCGCCTGAGACTTCCTCGCAATTCAATCACAGACGACGCTCCCGCTCGAGACTTCCTCCATATTCAAATCTCAAGAGCCCAAAAGTGACGACAGTTGCACGTTGCGGATGACCCGCTCGGATTCAAACATGAAGTGCGGGCCCCATTGGGAGGGGGCTCCCGCCTGAGACTTCCTCACAATTCACTCACAGACAAAGCTCCCGCTCGAGACTTCCTCCATATTCAAATCTCAAGAGCCCAAAAGTGACGATTGCACGTTGCGGATGACCCGCTCGGATTCAAACATGAAGCGCGGGCCCCATAGGGAGGGGGCTCCCGCCTGAGACCTCCTCGCAATTCACTCGCAAACGAGGCTCCCGCTCGAGACTTCCTCCATATTCATATCTCAAGAGCCTGTGGAAGTCGAGAGCGTCTGCTGTTTTTCAGCTGCTCCGGTTCCCAACCGCCCCAGCTCTTGCTCGGTATTCTGGTTCCCGTTGGCCTCTACGTTGGCCTCGCTCGTTTTTGCTTGATGCCCGATCTCCTGGACCCCCGTGTAGTACTGGGTTCTGGCTCTGACTTGCTCTCCGGCCCGTTTGGTCCGAGGTCGCCACTTCGCCTTTTTTTCCCATGCGCCGGCACGTGGGTCGCAGAGACACTGGCAGTTCAACCTGTGTAGGCCGCAAACCCGCTTGGGCTTGAGCCAAAAAAGTTACACGGACAAAAAGGGCTCAAAGATGTACCGCACTGCTCCGTGCTATGATTACACACGCCGCGGTGAGCAGCCCGAAGGCGCCACCAGACCGGCGTCAGAAGTGCCGCGGTGAGCGCCGAATGGCGCCACCAGACCGGCCTTGAGACAGACGTTGGACGATTCGAAGCCCCCGGAAAGCAGCAGACGGCGAAGACACAGCGGGACGATCCTAGGCGCCCCGAGACGTCGCCAGCCTATGGCCGAGGACAAAAAACATGGGACAGGGGAGCATCGGCATAGCATCGGCATGAGTAGTCAGCAGTGGCTCAAGACCCCCCCCCCTTTTTGCCACGCCCCCTTTTGTCGGTAGCGTTGCTAGGGGAGACGCCACCGCATGTGATACAAGCTTCACGGGAACTTGCAACTACCTGTGATAATCTGCATGCGTACGCTGACAATTCTCACCCCTGCCGGCACGAGCGGCGGCGCTCGCAATGGGATGTCATCCGCACCCCCCTCGCCGAGCGACTGCCGGCCCCTCTGCTGCGGAAGTCAAGCTTGTTGCACCATGTGGATCATCTCCAGCGCTGCTCGGAACTTCGGGCCATTCAAGACCTTAGTGAACAAGTCGGCCTTCATCTGCAAGGTGGGGCAGTGCTCGATGCTCAGCAAGAGGCCCCGGTCGTTCAGCATCTCGTGCAGCATGCCGACGCAGACGCGCTGCGTGCGCGGCAGATGGCGCAGCCGCTTCGAGTAGCCCTTGGTTGCGGCTTGGATCGTCTGCATGTTGTCGACCCTGCGCGCTATCCCAATCCTGCGTGGAAGGACCTCGTCCAGGAGCATCTGGATCGGTATGGCCCCCCGCCGCACGACATGGGAGAATGCGACTGTTTCAGTCTCGGCGGTGCACCCTCCAGTGGACGACTGCTGCGAGCATCCCCAAGACAATGGGAAGCTACGGCCAGAGGCCGGCGAGAACAGCTCAATCCACCATCCGGCCACGGACTTGCTGGTCATCGGGTCGCCGTTCCAATCGGCGTCAGAGTGCGTCAGCAGCAGCAGATCGTCCACGTCGGCCAGGGCAAGCGTACCCTTGAGGACGTGCGTGGAGGTGCAAGCAGCATACATCATGAGACGGATGAGTGCCAAGTCGTGGACAGTGGTCCAGCGCGACACTCCGCTGCACAGACGCTGCGTGGCTGCAGCCAGGTCGGGCCTTCCAACACGGCACAAGAAGAGGGGCGACGCAGAGTGCGACGCCGCGACGTCTGCAAACCTCCCTGCCTCCTCGGAGTCCTGCGCCCAAGACTCGGCTGAGATGTACGGCGAGTCCACGGGCTTGGTGGTCCCGAGGCCGGCGTCGGCGCAGAAGCGCTCTACCATCGCCCTGGTGTAATCGATCATCGACGTCGTGACTGTGCGAGGCGCATCGGGGAGCTTCGGATCGAAAGGGTCGAGGGCGTAGTACGCACCACTGAACTTGTTCACCGGCGCCGGCTCGTCCTTGAACTCGATGCTCTTGCACAGCGCCTCCCAGTGGGCGTCGGCCTTGCACCCCAGAGCCGCCAGGAGCAGGTCGTCGACGTAGACGGTCAGCATGCTCCCGTCGGCATGGACGAACACGCCCGACCAAGAGGGCACCGAATGCCATCCGAGTCCGAGCAATACCTGGGTGAGCTTCTTCTCCCACAGGGCTCCTGCCTCCGGGTGCCCGTACAGGGCCAGGAGGAGCAGACGCACGGGCAGAACGTACAGTGGCTTGCTCCTGTCGCCCCCCTCGAACCACGAGTCGGGCCACCACTCCCTGGGTATCTCAACCCACGTCTCGATCCTGCCGTCCACGTTGATGCGGGCCTGGAGGTAGGCTTGCAGCGCGTCTCGCACAGTGATGCTGAGGCGCTTCAGGATAGCCGCCGCCATGGTGCACCGAATGGCGACGAAGGACGCCGGGCTGTTGCTCACCTCCTCGTACAAGTTCACCGCCGCCGTCCCCGTCTCAGTCCTGATGTTCGATCCCTGGAACACCGCGCGAAATTTCATCCTCCTATCCTCTGCGCGCTCCACTTCAGCGTTGGTCTCGCCCAAGATCCCGAAGATGCGGCCCGTCATGACCTCGGCCTTCGAGTTGTCGCGCACGAGGTCTTTGCATTCCCTCACCGTGGACGTCCCAAGTTTTCCGGGTACGGTGCCCACGAAGCTCCTTGTCTATGGCAGCCCGTGCCTTGGCCGACTTTGCTTCCTCCAGCTTCAGCGGGACCTTCCGGGTGACGAGCACGGACCACTTGGGCGTCTTCCTGCCGACGTCGTGCTGCGCGGTGTCGTCGTGGTCGGTGTGGCCCCCGGCGATGGGCAAAATAGACTGCCAGATCAGACGTGCGAGCTCCTGGGAGCATGGCCCTCGGAGGTCCACGCTCTCGTCGCGACAGCCGTCGATCGACTCCGGCGGCATCTCCGGCGCCAGGGCGCGCGGCTCGAGCAACTTGCGGAGCCCCGCGCTGTTCGCGAACACACGCAGGGTGTCGTCCGTGCGGCGCTGAGCGCCGCACGGACGACCCCATCGAGCGGCTCGAAGGGGTCGTCGCTCTGGCCCTCCGCGGCAGACACGCTGAGGCTAGCCATCGAGACGTCACGAAGATCAGATCCAGCGTGCTCCAGCAGCTGCCGCACGTCGCTGCGCAACCAAACGGAGGACGTCGGCGGCCACCCCCAGTAGATGTAGCCTCCCTGCTTGACGACGTGACGGCACAGGCCAACAGCGACCTCGACCCGGCGGTCTGGGAGTTCGCCTGGCGTGCGCACCGTGCTGACCCAGACGTGCAGCGGAATGCCAAGCTGGCTGCAAGCCCGGACGATGCCGTGCAGCGCCCTGATGGTTTCCTTCCTGCACAGCTCGTCGCCCTCCGTGACTCTGACGGTCAGGGCGCGCTGCGGCATGAGCTCCGCGATCATCGAATCCTCCTCCGTAGATATATCCACCACAACAACCTTGAACTGCCCGCTCTGGATCTTCGTGCGAGCAGTTCGCAAGATGTCGCCCTGCAGTCCGGACTGGCTCAGGCGCGTGGCCATCGCGCCGGCCGCCGCAGCAGCTGGGCCATCTTGCACATGCGCGGCCTCGTACTCAGGCTTCACGCTCGGCCGATCCCTGCCCACGTGCATGAGCTGAGCTGCAGCCGGTACTTCAGCAGCCGGGGGTCCACGAGCGCCCTCGCTTCCGGCGTTCGCGGCACTTGCCGGGAGGCTCCCCCTGGTCCGCTTGGCATGTTCATATGCCGCCTTCCGAGCTTCTTGAGCGGCGAAGCCCACGGGATCCTTCTCCTTCCACTCCTGGCGCAACTTCTCCTGGTGAGATTTCTTGAACATGAGCCATGCCTCGGGGAGGACTGTGGGCGGCCTCCGGCTCCAGGGCGGAACCGAAATCGTCCTCGTATGGTGCCCGTGCGGGAAGGTGTCAATCCTCCAGCCCTTGGGCGCACGATTCTCCTCAACCTCCAACTCCGCACGGCCGAGCTCGGCAGGCTCGTCCTTAGGCTCGTGTTCGGTGGCGGCCTGCTCGCCGCCGTTCTTCTCGACCACCTCCTCCTCTGGCCCCGGGTCGTCCGCCGCCTGCGAGTCCTCGGGGTCCAGCACGACGGACTCGACGAAGTTGCCCGGCTCCAGCTTCGGGGCGCCCCCCTCCATGGCCCCGTCGTAGGCCTCGTCGCCCGGCTCCTCGCTCACCTCGGACAGCTGCAACGCCCACGACTCGTTGTCATCAGTCACCGCTGGCGCTGGGAAGCTCGCATCCCTGGATGCTCCGGCGAGCTTGAGGCGCTGGCGCATGGGGAAGATGATGCGGTCCGGGAAGTCGACCTCCGCGGAGTATCTGATGCATGCCCGGGACGGCCGGTCGCTGCTCAGGAGGCGCTCCAGCTTGACGACGCCGCACGTCCGGTTCCACGCGAAGCCTGGCCCGCAACCGATGCCGACCAGCACGTGCGGCACCATCCTGGGGCTCCATTTCGAAGGCTTGGCCCCGCCGCGCCGGGCAGCAGCGACGAATACCAGCGCTCCGAATGGGTACTGCTCGTACTCGGCGGACGTGTCGTAGCGGCGCTCGTGCGGAGTGAACCCGTCCGCCCCCCTGCAGTGGCCGTTGTACCGCATGCACCAATAACAGATCGCGCACACCCACCACGACGCCGGAAAGGCGGCCATGAGGAGCAAGGCCCGGGCCCCCTCGACCACAGTGCGGTTGAACCGCTCGATGACTCCGTTGCTCTGCGGCGCGCGCGGGATGCTCCGATAATGCGCGAACGGCCGCATTCTGCGAATCTTGCGTCTCGCAGCCGCAAGCTCGGGGGCATTGTCGCTCCACCAGCGGCGGATCTCAGGCACAGCGCTGTCGAAGGTGTGGTGGGCCTCGACGATGGTGTCGGCGTCCCTGGAGCTCGCCGGAAAGACTCCGGCGAACTTCGCACGCTCGTCGAGCATGTTCAAGCTGTACTTCGCCGTTCGAGCGGCCTCCGAAACCGGCTGCATGACGATGTGGTCCATGTGCACGCACGCGCCGAACGGCCTCTCGTCCGCGTCGGCGCAGCGAACGCACGCGCCGCTGACCGGGCGTCGCCGCGAAGGCCACTTGGCGTGCTTGCCCCCCCGGCACCCGGGACAGTACTTCGGCATGGCCGGCTGGCGCAACGCGAGGTGCTCCTTCGTGAGGCGCGACGTGTCGCAGGGCAGCACGACGTCGTCGAAGGAGTCCTCAAGCTGGATCCGGTGGAGGATTTTGTCGTCCTGCATCAGGTCGCCGTCGTAGCTCGTGATGCCTCCCTCCAGCACTCGGGCAACGTGCCTTGCAGCGTCGTCGTGCCCAGGGTCCACGGTCTGGTCCACAATCCCGATCTGCGAGATCTCCCCCCCGTCCTCCTGCTCCACGTCCTTCTCGTCCTCCTCGTGCTCGTCCTCCCCCAGCTCCACGTCGTCGTCTTGAGGTGGATCCGCCTCCAGAGGCAGGGCGTCGTCGATCAGCGCGCCGTCGTCGACCACAGCGACGTTGACCAGCAGCCGCTTGCCCGCAGATGGGTCCCTGCGTGGCTTGGGCTGCGACTCGACATACGGCACGAAGTCGGGGTCGACCTTCACGCCGACGCGACACCCATCAGGCAGGAAAACGTCCGCAGCAGGAGCGAAAGGCTTCCAGGTGAACTCGAAGCCCAACTGGGCACAGCGGCGCCCAACCGTCAGCACGCGGACCGTCTCGTCCGCATCCTCGAGCACGGTCGCCTCCACGTCCCCGCCGATCTCGCTGAGGTGCGTGACGACGGCGCGATCGCAGTGGACGTTGCCTCCACCGGTCTCAACCGCGACCTGGTCGTGGAGATCCATGTGGGCCCCCTGGAGGCCCTTCCCCGACGCGTCGAAGGTGGTCGCGGTGTCCAGCACCCATTTGTCGGAGGCGCCGCACAGGCTCCCCGACGAGCAGAGGTGCAGCTTCTTGCCGCCGCCCTTGCCCTTCTGCTTGGCCTCGGCCTCGCGTTTCGCCTTCGAGACCGCCGCGAGGTCCCGCTTGTCGCCGTCGCCGTGCTTGTAGATGCACTTGTCCCCGTGCGAGCACTTGCCGTCCGCGAAGAACTTGCGCGCGTCGCCGGGCTGCCGCCCGAGGGTGACCGCGGTCCCTGCTGGCCAGGCCGCGGTGGGCGTGTGAACGCTGTCCTTCCAGTGGACGTGCTTGCAATTGTCGCCGAACTTGCAGCTCCCGGACCTCCAGAATCCACAGGCGACCTGTCAGGTGCAGGCTTGGCCAGTTCCCTGGCCGCGGCCTTGGCTTTCCCCTTCGGCGCGGCCTGCCTGACCTGCTTCACCTGCTTTGGCGTCGGGGTCAGGGCGTCGACGGTCTTGTTCTGCGCAGCTCTCGCGCACGCCCTCCTGGCCGAATCGCACAAGAACTGCAGCGTCTTCTCTGGGGCGTCGTCGAGGGCGCGGTCGAACTGGGCAAACTCGAACGCGAGGTCGGGGGCCTTGCGGAGCTCCGGCTCGACGATCGCGAGCAGCAGCGCCTCGTCCGGCTCGGCGCTCATCAGGGCGAGCCTGGCGTCCAGGGCGTCGAGGTACACCTCGAGATCCCCATTGTACTTCAGAGCGTTGAGCGCCGCGAGGTGAACGCGGTGCGCCTTGCCGCTGTCGAGCTCGAAACGCCGGAGGATCATGTAGAGGGCCGCCCTGCCGGACGCGGGCGTGCCGAAGCGCGCGTTCTTCTCCTGGTGCAACGTCAGCTGCCGGCCTATGGCGCCGGACGCGCCTTTCTTCAGCGCGGAGCAGAGCTCCGTGTCGAAGAGGTCCCACTTCTTGGGGATGTACTCGACGTCCTCGACGCGGTCAGCTTCGAAGGCGCTCTTCACGTACTTCGTCGCCCTGACCTTTGAGCGGTTCGAAACGCGGCAACACTCTGTCATCAAATCGTTGGTCCACTTGCGGAGACCAGCTGCGCTCGTGAGGGGGTCGATCTTCATCTCCTTGACCGTCGTGCGGCGGCGCATGAAGGCCTCGTCCTCGTCCTCGCTGTCGCTGCTAGCAATGCAATGCTGCGTTGGCGAGCCCGCCCCAAGGCCCGTGCCTGGCAGAGCGCCAGGCGACGCCGCCGACGGCATCGCCGGCGCGGCGGCCATCGGAGCTGCTGCCGCGGGGTCTGTGCGACCACGACTCGCCGCGCTCCCAATGCAGAATCCAGAGGACATAAGTGGGTTGACGACTCTCTTGGCGAGCGGAGGCAGCATGGCGATCGGCACGCGCGGCGCTGGCGCCGTCGTCATTCCAGTGTGGTGCGCGGATCTCTGAGCCGCGGCCAGCTCCCGCCTGACCTCGGCCACCTTCCGCATCTCGCTTTCCGCCTGTACCTCTGCCCTCGTTGTCCTGGCATTCGCCTCCACGCAGCGCTGGAAGGCGTCGCTGATCTCGTCCCCCAGCTTCTGGATGTACTCGTTGGCTTCCTTGCTGAACTCCTCGGAGTACCTGTTGTTGTCCTGAAGCTGCTCGTGGGTTGAGTCGCTCTGCCATCGCCAAACAGCCGCCTCCTCGGACTCCTCGTGGACCCGGTCGTGCAGCATTTCGATCCGCTCCTCGTAGACCAACTGCTCGTCGAAGAACTGCTTCTCCCGCGCCTCCACGGCGATCTGCTGTCGGGCCGCGGCCGCCGCCTGCACTCGCGCGGCCTCGGCCGCTCGGGTGTGTGTGCGCGCAGCTCCAGCATGTCGCTGCGCTCCTCGAGGTGGGCGCACTCGTTTCGCAAGCCCTCCTCGGTCACGCGCATGCGGCGCTCGGCGCTCACCTCAAGCTCCCGGAATCTCGCGGCGACCTGCCGCTCGACCCCTTCCTCGGTCAAGAGGAAATGCTGCCTTTGTACGCCGAGTTCGCCGTGAAACTCTGCTCGATAGCCGTCGCGGCATTCCTCCGCAATGCCCTCGACCACCTGCCTCCAACGAACATCCTGGTTCTGGGCCGCCTCGTGCTCCACGACCTCAACGCGCTGGCGGAGTTCCGCGAAGAGCTGCTGGTCCCTCAGCCGTTCGCGCTCTTGCGCCTCGGCCCGGATCGCCTGCATCTCGTGCCTCGCGTTGTGCTCCGCCGCCTGGATTACCTCGTCCCTCACGCCGCTCTCGACAACCGCCTCGGCTGCGTAACGCTCTCGCAGTCGTCGTGCAACTGTCTCCTCTGCCTCCCAACGACTGCGTCTTGCTTCCACTTCGAACTCCTCCATCCTCTCGTGGATCCTCTCCTCGTCCACGTTCTCGATGATCCTGCTCAACTCCCGCGCCCAATCGACGCTCAAGTCGGTCGCCTCGTCCGCGATCGGGATGTGGGGCGACCGGCTACGGTCCACCGCTCCCTGCTGCTCCTGACGGTCTGGACTCGGCGGTCCGGCCACCGGGTCCATCCTCGGCGGGCCCGCCAGTGGAATCAACGTTGGTCGATACGCCATTGTGGTTGTAAGCAAGGTTCCTAACTGTGGAAGTCGAGAGTGTCTGCTGTTTTTCAGCTGCTCCGGCTCCCAACCGCCCTAGCTCTTGCTCGGTATTCTGGTTCCCGTTGGCCTCTACGTTGGCCTCGCTCGTTCTTGCTTGATGCCCGATCTCCTGGACCCCCGTGTAGTACTGGGTTCTGGCTCTGACTTGCTCTCCGGCCCGTTTGGTCCGAGGTCGCCACTTCGTTTTTTTTTCCCATGCACCGGCACGTGGATCGCAGAGACACTGGCAGTTCAACCTGTTTAGGCCAAAAACCCGTTTGGGCTTGAGCCAAAAAAGTTACACGGACAAAAAGGGCTCAAAGATGTACCGCACTGCTCCGTGCTATGATTACACACGCCGCGGTGAGCAGCCCGAAGGCGCCACCAGACCGGCGTCAGAAGTGCCGCGGTGAGCGCCGAATGGCGCCACCAGACCGGCCTTGAGACAGACGTTGGACGATTCGAAGCCCCCGGAAAGCAGCAGACGGCGAAGACACAGCGGGACGATCCTAGGCGCCCCGAGACGTCGCCAGCCTATGGCCGAGGACAAAAAACATGGGACAGGGGAGCATCGGCATAGCATCGGCATGAGTAGTCAGCAGTGGCTCAAGACCCCACCCCCTTTTTGCCACGCCCCCTTTTATCGGTAGCGTTGCTGGGGGAGACGCCACCGCATGTGATACAAGCTTCACGGGAACTTGCAACTACCTGTGATAATCTGCATGCGTACGCTGACAATTCTCACCCCTGCCGGCACGAGCGGCGGCGCTCGCAATGGGATGTCATCCACAAGAGCCCAAAAGTGACGACAGTTGCACGTTGCGGATGACCCGCTCGGATTCAAACATGAAGTGCGGGCCCCATAGGGAGGGGGCTCCCGCCTGAGACTTCCTCGCAATTCACTCACAGACGAGGCTCCCGCTCGAGACTTCCTCCATATTCAAGTCTCAAGAGCCCAAAAGTGACGACAGTTGCACGTTGCGGATGACCCGCTCGGATTCAAACATGAAGTGCGGGCCCCATAGGGAGGGGGCTCCCGCCTGAGACTTCCTCGCAATTCACTCACAGACGAGGCTCCCGCTCGAGACTTCCTCCATATTCATATCTCAAGAGCCCAAAAGTGACGACAGTTGCACGTTGCGGATGACCCGCTCGGATTCAAACATGAAGTGCGGGCCCCATAGGGAGGGGGCTCCCGCCTGAGACTTCCTCGCAATTCACTCACAGACGAGGCTCCCGCTCGAGACTTCCTCCATATTCAGGCCGAGTGATGATGATGATGATGATGATGATGATGATGATGATGATGATGATGATGATCGTTCGATGCCGATGATGGTGAGTGATCGTGGGATGGTGATGGTGATGCTGATGGTGATGATGATGATGATGATGATGATGATGATGATGATGATGATGATGATGATGATGATGATGATGATGATGATGATGATGATGATGATGATGATGAGTGGGGAGTGATGGTGATGGTGATGATGATGCGGAGGAGGAAGCAAAGAGGAGCAGAGGAGAGGGAGGAGGAGGAGGAGGAGGAGGAGGAGGAGGAGGAGGAGGAGGAGGAGAGATCCTGCGCGGAGGGTGTGCAGAGAAAGCAAGAACCCCACTTAGGATGTGGGGAACAAGACAGACTCCGCCAGAAATGCTCTAATCATATTTGGTGGGAGCCACCAAAGGTTCTTAGAACATTGCTTGGTAGGGCTATAGGCGAGCCGGGACGCTTCGCCACTGCTCGAGTCCCACCTGCACCTCCGCAGCAGCTCACCTCTCGCCCAGCGCCCGCCAGAGAGCCCGCCGGCGGGCCTGCCGGACGCCGCTCCCGCCCGCGCGGGCCCGCCGGCAGCTCGCCGCAGGCGAGAGGCCACTCCCTCCACACATTGTTCGACGATCTGTCGACGATGTTTGAGAATTGTTGGTTGCTCTTGTTGAATGGGGGGGAGTTGCCCGAGCTAAATCCAGCCATGTGTGCTTCCTGCTTCCTGGTCAACTTCCTGGTGAACATCCGAGGAGGGCGCCCCCGGCGTGCTCGCCCCCCCCACACGCGGGGGGGCCTCGCTCATCCGCTGCAGGCAGCCCTCGGCGTCGAGCTGCGCGTACGTCCGCCGGCCACGGTCGCGGCGATCGACGAGACTGGCGGCTGCTGGGTTCTGCACTTCGCCATCGGGCATCGAGGGGTAGATCTTTCTGAGGCTCTGGCCGTCTGTTTTTCCTTCAACGGTCCTCGTTTTGAAGGACGGCGCCCCGCGTTTGTCTCCTCTCCTCCTCCCCCTCCTTCTGCTCCTCCCTCCTCCAATCCTTGCCTCTGCTCCCCGTATGTCCACCAACCCCCCAACGAACTCCACCCGAAGGCCACAGTGGCACCGTCAACATGCGCCTGCGCCACGCATGTCGGCACACCCCTCACACGCTTCGTGGCCCCATAGCTCCACCGAGGGCCCCAGTGACAGGGTGGGCATACGGTTCCACCCCCATTTCGGCACACCCCTCACACGCTTCGTGACCCTATAGGGAGCTCCACCGAAAGCGCCAGAGGCAGGGTTCGCATACGGTTCCACCCCCATTCCGGCACACCCCTCACACGTCTCGTGACCCTACAGGGAGCTCCACCGAAGGCGCCAGAGGCAGGGTTCGCATACGGTTCCACACTGAATATCGGCACACCCCTCACACGTCTCGTGACCCTGTTGGGAGCTCCACCGAAGGCGCCAGAGGCAGGGTTCGCATGCGGTTCCACCCCGAATGTCGGCACGTTTCGTGGGCCCATAGGGAGCTCCACCGAGGGCCCCAGTGACAGGGTAGGAGATGGCACACCCCTCAGACGTTGCCTGGCCCCAAAGGTAGCTGCGCCGAAGGCTCCCGTGGCAGGGCTCGCATTCGGTTCCACCCCCCATCCAGGCATACCCCTCACATGTTCCGCAGACCCGTGGGGAGCTCCACCTAATTCCCCAGTGGCAGGGTCCGCATACGGTTCAACCCCCAATGTCGGCACACCCCTCACACGTTTCGTGGACCCACAGTGGCAGGGTGCGCATGCGGTTCTAGCCCCAGGGTCGGCACAACCCCTCACACGTTTCGTGGGCCCGTAGGGAGCTCCACCAAATTCCCCAGTGGCAGGGTTGGCATGCGGCGCCACCTCCATTTCGGCACACCCCTCAGACCCTTCGTGGCCTCACGGAAAGCTCCACCGAAGGCCCCACTGTCAGGGTGCGCATGCGGTTCCTCCCCCATTTCGGCACACCTCTCACACGTTTCGTGGCCCCACAGCTCCACCGAAGGCCACAGTGGCAGGGTTCGCATACGGTTCCACCCTCCATGTGGGCACACCGCTCACACGTTTGCCCACCGGGAGCTTCACCTGGTTCCCCTTCCCCAGTGGCAGGGTTCGCATGCGATTCCACCTCCATTTCGGGTTCCCCTCAGACGCTTCGAGGCCTCATACGCAGCTCCACGGAAGGCCCCAGAGACAGGGTGGGCATGCGGTTCCACCCCCATTTCGGCACACCCCTCACACGTATCGTGGCCCCGTAGGCAGCTCCACCGAAGGCCCCAGTGGCAGGGGTCGCATGCGGTTCCACCCCAATGTCGGCACACCCCTCACACGTATCGTGGCCCCGTAGGCAGCTCCACCGAAGGCCCCAGCGGCAGGGTGGGCATGCGGTTCCACCCCCATCCCAGCACATCTCTCACACGTGTCGTGACCCCAGCTTCCCCGAAGACGATAGTCACAACTGCGGCACTCACAACTGCATATGGTTGGGTCCTTCGCCAGGCTAATTCTAACATATTTGAGCCTCCAGGGACCTCTGGGGACTTTCCCCTCAGGCCTCCAGGAACAGGAAACCCTGGGGTCATCCTGCGGCCAGGGTCCTGGACGGCAGCAACTCTTACCAGCGGCGGCAGCTAACACGACGACGAGGCCCAAGGAGGCACGGAGACCACAGGAAACCATGGGAGACCCCTGAACGGAGAAGGAGGGGGGAAGGAGGGAAGGGGGGGAAGGGAAGCGGAGAGGGAGAGAGCGAACGAGACCGTAACACTTGGGACCAGTTTTTGTTGACTTTGATCGGGCCACTCTTCGGACCAGCTCTGGTCCACGGGGGAGGAGGGCAAGCGTCCTCTGCCCGCACGTCTTTGGCGGGGGGGGCAGGCTGGAGCGCAGGCCTGGTTGCCACAGTGTGCGGTTCCAATGGTGGTCGTCGGACACTCGGCGGGGGGTGGTGGCGCAGTGAACCGCGGTGAAGAGCTGGCAGCAATGTGGGCCCTGTGGCACCCGTGGCTGATGCCCCTGCGGGTCCGCGGACGCTCACAAAGATGGTCGCAGCGGACTGCGCCTTGGGCGACATCACGGGCACAGGCTTGAGTGCAGCAGGCTTAGACACTGTGCAGCTCCAGCGGCTGTCGTCGGACGCTCGACGGCGGTGTCACGGTGCACCGCGGCGGAAGGGCTGGCTGCAACGTGGGCCGATGCCCCTGATTGTCAGCGGGCGCTCAGAAAGAGGGTCGCAGCGGACTGCGCCTTGGGCGACATCACCGGGGCAGGCTGGAGTGTTGGCCTGGTGGCCGCACGGGGCGGCTCTGGTGGCGATCGTCGGACGCTCGGCTGGAGGGTCGCAGTGAGCCCGAGCGAGTGGTCTGGTTGCAGTGGGGGCCTGGTGGCTCCAGTGCCTGGCGCCAGTGGTCGCCGGCGGACTCTTGGGGGGAGGGTCACTGTGAAGTGCAACCATGGGTGCTGGGTTCACTTCTGGCCCGGGGGCCATGGTCAATCCTAGTGGCAGTCGGCGGAGACAAGTCGGTGGGGCCGTGATGCTCGTGCACATGGAGGCTGGTTGCAGTTTCGACCTGGTGGCCGCCCTGCTCGGCGGGTGGTGGAGCTTCGGCATGCTGGAAGGCGGCACGAAGGTCATGTATCACGTAGGGCGCCACGTAGGTGACCACGCTGAACGCTAGCTTGCGGGGGG